TTACCAAAAAGAAGTAACTGTAACTGTAACTTCGTTACAAGTAACGAGTTACTTCCCAACCCTGGTAACCATCTATGTAATATATGGTTACGAAATTCATTTGGCAGTATAACCATTTGAATAAAAGTGGAAATACTAACTTTGGCAGAGCATACGTTCGTGGCGTGCGTGAGAAGTTTTGAATCAAGAGAATTTATAAGAATTTTTTAAATCTTCTGTTCACAGCTGCGGTATTTCAAGTTACCAGCGTAATAATTACGCAACCATTAGAATTCGATGTAAATCGGCCATTTTATTATTATATTCGCCATAGCGAGGGACCATCGTTTGTATCTTTATTCGAAGGCCGTATCGACATGCCAGAAATACACTAGATATATTTTACGAAAAATATATGTCAACCTAAAAATTTAATTGCCGACGTTATGCTAGTTGAATGTCTTTAATTCTTATTCTCTTAATTCTTGTTCGATTTAATTCTGACAACGTGATTCTAAAATCTTGAAAATATTTCAATATTTACATATTCGTAAAGCTTAATTATTGGTGTGATTGGTAATATTTTCTTATTTGATTAATTGGAAGCATTATTTCGCAGTAATATACGTGTTTATATATTTTTATAATTAAATAATTACAATAATTATGTTCAAATAATTGATAAGAAATTTGGATATGAAGTTGAAATTTAAGTTTACGATACTGAGTACATTTCTGCAGTTGACAATAAACCAGTCGTTCCATTATTACATTCAGAATCGAACGAGACATCTTTTGTGCCTTTCGTATCTTTATTGAAGAATTACGCAAATGTGTCAAAAGTGTAATGAATATTAGGCAAAGAATGTCTCATCTAAAAATATATAATATTCGAATTAAAATACATTTGGTAAATTTAAATAAAAAATGTTTCTGATGTTGACTTTAATAAGCTATATCTAATATTTTTATTAAGACTGTTGTTCTAGCTGGACATTCGTAGAATCTGATCAATCTCTTAAATGTAACAATATGATTTAAAAATCTCTGTTTATTTTTCGATATTTTTATCTTATCTTATTCTCAAATGACACATAGATCGGCGGTTAACATACATCATTTAACGGCAAATAACATGCATGTGTATTTGCTTTTTAAATTACTTACTTAGAATCTGTAGATTATGTAATCTCTAAATAGTTATAAGAATTTTTCTCTAAAATTATCGATAGAAAAGGTGTATGTATATTAAGTTCGAAGCAATGGAGGTAGATTATATGGATATAAAAAAAGTCTTGAACGATCAAGCGTACATAAAAATCGGTTTTTTTATATTCTGTTCACAGTTGTGATAGTTGCAGAAAGTGTTGCGGTCGGTTTATCATTACCAGTGTTCGACGTAAATCGACCATTTTTTTATCATATCCAATATCAGCCATTGAATAAATCCTTATTCAATGGTTTCGTGAATGTGCCGGGAATATTTTGAGCTGTCGAATGTGAAAAAGATTGTCACGTCAATTTTTCATGATGTCGTATGGCAAATTTGTTATACGAAATTAATCTGACATTAAAAATTGGTTAATTTTTTTACTCGAAACTGTTAGAATTATGATTATTTTATAATAACGTATAAAATATTATATGTATTAGCAGTGCATATAGTAAGAGTCCTAATTTCTTTACTGAATATCCCAATTTCCTAACATCTATTCCACCGTTGCAGTAAACGTAATAAAATATAATTAGTGGACGGGGAACGACGTGAGCAAAGCGTACATTCGTGTTCCGCACAAACGCAGGAGACTCGATAGAAGTTTCTCAGACGATCGTATATGGTTGATTTGCATTATGTTTGCAGCTGTCCAAGCCGTGCTTGATTCTTTGATAATACCACCACTACCGGAATTGATATTTGACGTAAACCAGCCGTTCTGCTATTACATTAAATACAGCTCGCCAAATGTAGCTTTATTCCAAGGCCATGTGATCGAACCGAAAGTCTAGGTATGCTTGAAAATTGAGCAAAACTGTAGTAGATGTGTCTGAAGCTACGTCTTGGTCTTATGTTTTAGGTCTAGAATGTATACGTTGATCGTTAAACGCAAGTCTATTTGTCACACTCGCATATATGCCTATTGTATACGATGTTTGCATTGAAGGAAATCGTTGTCATTGTCGACAGAGGTGTTTTTTATAACAGAAACGATCTGTCTTTTCCGCAATCTGTTACAAAATACAAAAACTTTTTTCTTGTAATACCGAACGTCGTACAATCGAACGTGTGATAATTTTGATGATGCAAATACTGGCACACCCAAAGTTGTACGATTCACGTCCGATATCTATTTTTCTTTTTATAAAATTGAATTAATAGCTCTAGTACTGTTTAGGTCCAAGCTATTGTCTATTTTCCAAATCATCCGATTTTTCTCTATTATTACATCTAATTTATTCTGGTGTTTTAAATGACACGAATAAAATTAGAATAAAATTGGCTTACTGAGTTATTCTTTTACGTGCATTCTCGTGTGCACGCAATAAATTGATATATTTTTTATAATTAAATATACAGGATTTTATATACTGACTGAACATCAACGCTGGCCCATTTATTTCGAGACAATATATCTACATTTTATGGATGAGATATTTATTCTAAATTTTTTCTCCGACATGCACATTTTCTATGCATGTAAAACAGCAATTTATTAAAATTATAGCAACGTTCCAAAAAATGTATATCCTAAAAAATAATTATCGCGAGCGACTAAATTTCATCTGTTTGCAGATATTTGGTAAAATAATTATTAGGTATAATTTCTATTTTTTTAATCTTTGACATTTAGCATATACATACATGGTATTATTATGCCCGAGAAAGATGCTCGTGTATCACACACACACACACACACACTCGTTCACAACATTCTCATCCGCGTTCGCGCACTTGGGAATGGACAAACTCGGCTCGTCGGAAAGAAATTCGTTTATTCATAGACTGATATAGTGGAGCGAAAAGACAATACTGTACTGCTTGTCAACTTGGCTACGAATCGTTTTAGCAACCGGTTGTTAACAGCGGCTCGTTGTTCTGTATAAGCGGCTTCGTAACTTCTCAATCGCAGCTCGATTCTACCCAATCCAAAGGACGTATCACATATACCGGTTAATTGTCGGATTACTTTAAAATGGTATACAGCACCGGCCAAAATTATATCACCTTTCGATTATTTAGGTACAACTGGTTTTAAAATATTTTGTCTTTCATTACTCTTCATGTACAAGATGTACCTGTTGTTAGATGTCTACTGGAAAATTTTAAGCACTTCGACGACATGGCAGTTACGCTCAGAAAACGGAAAGGTGATATAATTTTGGCCGATACTGTACATATATACTTAAAAATAATATATATATACGTTGCAATTATATGTACTTATACACGAAATATAACAAAAATTTCAATTATAATTTTTAGAAGCGTATTTATTTACGATTCACCAAAATAAGTGTATAAACATCTGTGAAATATTCATTCTATTAAAAAAAAATTAAACCTAATATTTATTTAAGGAAAACCTGGTCTTCATTTCGATTGAAAGTGTATACATTTCTTTTTTTTCCAGCTTTTTACATCCCAAAGAAAATTAAGTCGTACAATTTTAATAAACGCCACAAATAAAATTAAATCACCATAAAAAGCGTAACAACTTGCTATCATTTTATAAAAATGACATGATTTGATGTACGTATACGCATCACACACAACACGCATACACATACACGCTGCAATTGAACAACAGACAGTTAATTTAAAAGAAACAAAAGTATTATTACGTAACTATTTCTAATTTTCCAGTACGCTGTACAGCTTTTAGATCGACAAAATTTTTCTCTCGCGATATTTCCAACATGCAACGTGACGAAGTAGCATAAATTATTCGTTGCAATCTTTCAACTTTCTGTTGCTTAAAGGTTCCAAGATATGGAAGAATTTGGTATCGAGCGTGCTCTAACAAAATTGCTTCGATCAAAAGGAGACATCTATGGATCGACACGTCCGTATGATTTGGTCCTATGATTTTTTATAGGTGTAATGTTCTTGCCTGGAATGCCAGCTCCTCAATTCGAGCCGCCAATCTTCAAGGCGGACCGACCCTTCTACTACAGCATTAAACACAACGTAGCTTCGCTCTTCGACGGATTCGTCGTTAAACCTTCAGCGAGTCCTTAATATTTCTCGGGATTTATCTACTACAACACAATATAATCCAATAGGATTTTTAATAGAGTTTAACAGCTTACGATTAATATAACATAAACGAATACAGCTCTCTTAGGCCGCGTCGTGTCGAGAAGAGGAGAAAGAAATTTCCATTTAAACAAATCGACAGTGAAATTGAGAGAACGAAATATTGTGTGAAATCTATAATTGGCTTCACGTAACAGATAACAGCGTTTAAATAACTGGGAGTGAACTTCATATAACATTTGCCTGCACCAGGTCAATCATTGATTTGTTTGGCTCTCTTTTTGCTGTGTTTTTTTTATTATATTGTTAAGTTGTTTGCATTTTTTAAGAAATCATTAATAAAATATTAAGCATTCCAGATCTCGCACAGATTTACAGTCCCATTTTAAATGTTTCCCGTCATATCATCTGAACAATGGTTTAAACGCTCGCTTTTGGCAAGTGTGCGTTACGTACGATGCCTTTATTACGGGTAGTTTTTTTATTAATCAATTTTTTATCTCGCAAGGATTCTTCAGCGAAAATATATTCGATTGTGAGCGTACTAGAACCAGATGAATATCTGAGCAGTCGTAGATTCTAATTTCTTTTTACTCAACTTGCTAAAGAAACACTTTATTACAATAAGCATTTGTTTCAACTGTAATCTTGTGATATCTGAATTTAAAGAGAATTGTATAGCTTGGAGCATCTCGTAATTCTTCTTTATATGAAATTGGTACAGTGCGGTTGCTTTTCGAAGCCCGCAAGAAAATACCAAGAGAGTGTATAAGTTCGTTATAATATTAATTTTTTTTAACTTAGACTGTTAAAGTTATAGTCTAAGTTATGTATATATGCTAACTTAGACTATAACTTTAACAGTCTAAGTTAAAAAAAATTAATATTATAACGAACTCGTATTAATATGTCTTTAAATAGTGAATTTTTTATGAGTTTTTCTCAATCTTAATAAAATATATTAAAATATAATATTAAAACATTAAAATAAAACAATATAACATGGAACAAACCCAAAAACCTAACCTAACCTAACCTAGCCCTAGTCTAGCCTAGCCTTTTTTCCATATCTCGGACAAGAGGGAGCTACGAGTTATAAAAGCCTGAACACATATCTAACAATAAATCACAAATCCCGAATAATCGGTTTTTTTAAGAGACGTCTGGTAACCTTAGCTTAATAATCAATGATAAAAGAGAAAACAATGATAAAAGAGCGAAAATTAATTGATAAACAAACATCATGTCACAATGTGCCTCAAGGATTACTGTCACATATACTGCTCCAAGCATACCTTTGCTACTTAACTTCAGGTGGACAGTGATACGAGGCTTGCATTAACATGATTATAATCTTAAATAAAATGTTAAACATAATCTTAAAACAGGCCATGTATACTCCCAGATAGCATTTTGACATCCAATGTATATACATTGCATATACATCAGTGTATATGACATATCCTATGAACATGCAGTGATATATTAACGACATACATTGGATATCGTAGGTATGTGCAAATGCAACGCGCTGTAGATGCAATTTATATCCATGCAATATACATGTGTATATTTGCCGAACATTCTATGTACATGTGTTTATTGAAAAAAAAAATTTTTTTCAACTAGTTTTTTAAATAA